CTGGGTATTTTACTTTATTTTAGTTTTAAAGATAACAAAACCAAACAAACAACCAAAATAAAAATAGAATAAATCCAATCAAAACAAAGCAGTGAAATTGGTACAGAACTTCAAAGCAGAATACTAGGAAAACAACAATAGCTACCATAGCATATCTCTCATTATCTTCACAATAGTTGTCCATTCCATCAGACATAGCAAAGTCAAACCAAACCAAAACAGAATAAAACCAATCAAAACAGAACACCGAATAAAGAAAAAAAATATTAATTGGTACAAAACAGTACAGTGAGAACAATGTTGGATCTCAAAAACATGACAGAAGGAAATCTCCCATATTTGCTCGGTTGCATAGTATCAATTCTCCCAAAAGATGTCAGACCACTGGTTCCAGGCCTGTAAAGTCAATCAAACAATACAAGCATTCAGTTGCTTTTTGTACCTCTGTTGCTATCAACTCAGCCTGTCCTCCTAATCAGCCAGTGGTGGTGGGTTGGGTGGGAGGATAAGAGAGTAGGTTCTTGATTCTCAGCCTGTGCCATGCTAGGCTCATGGGAGGTGCCATCTGACTTCTCTCTCTCTTCCTAGGCCCCACATGGCTTGTGCAGCTTACCAGAACAGCTGGCTAGTTGGCTTCTTGGTGGGCGCCCCACAGTCCCAGCATGGCTAATTCTCAGGAGGTGCTGATTGGGTTTTGCTATGGCATCAGGACAGGCAGAGGATGATGCAGCAGTGTCCTGAGGTGGGGGGGTGGGAGGGGAGGCTGAGCTGGGGGTCTTGGCCTGGAGAATCAAGTCTGCACTTGATGAATTGTGGCCTCAGTGTGTGTCACTACATGTGGCTGAGCCTCAGTGCTGGAGCTGGGCAGCTGCAGGTGACAGCAATGGTGCTCAGCGCAGAGCCCACAGATGCCTTCCCCACCTCCCGGTACTGATGCCCTCCTGTCCCGTGTGTCTTGGTACTACTGCTTGGTGCCCATGACATCCTTCCTGGGGATGCCTCGGAAGTCCCAGAGACTCCCTGCTGCCTATGCACAAATACAGGGTGCCAGGGACTGTTTCTGTCTCCTCTTAGGCACTCCTGGCTTTTAGCCTGTGGCAAGATGATACACAAATGTAAAGCCTAAGCAAAGGAAGATAGTGCACACCTGGAATCCTCTGGGAGGCGGTCATAAATTAGAGCCCTGACTAAACAACTCAGACACTTAGCAAGACTGTGTCTCAAAATGAAAAAGTAAAAAAGGTTGCAGATGAAGCTCAGTGCAAAGGGCCTAACTTCCATTGCCAGTAAGATGAACAAACAAACCAGTACACAAATACCCTATAAAAGCCATTTCTTGTCTTCACGTGCAACAAGTTCCAAAGGAGCAAAAGAAGTAACGCCTTGGACCACACCTGAAAACTCAGATTTTCTGGACTTCTACTTCTGTCTTTCTTTCTTCAGTCCACATTTGCTTCCCACACACACATGCCAAAAAACAATTCTTTATTCCTACGTGTTGGTGTTTGTAGCACATAACAATCGCGTCCATCTCTAGCGGTGCTGCAGGTATGGGACACAATGGCGCCTTCCTGCTCCCCCAGCTCTTGGGCCCCTTCTCATGTGCAAAATCTCCATTTCTGTTTCTTTATATAACTTTTGTTTTTAAAAAATTCTTCCCACCTTCTTTGTCTCCCCTCCCTTCTCTCTCTCTCTCCATCTTTTATTCCCATCTCTGGGTGCACTTTAAGCATCGTCTGCCCAGAAACCCTCATCTCAGTGTCAGCTTCTTCACAACTCCGCCAACTTCATTTACCCAGTTGTTTAAAGTCAAATAACTATCCAATCAGCATGGAAATGATACGATTTTAATATTTCTTACAGCACTTTAATTTTGCCTAAGTGAATTCCCATGATGAGACATCCGTGTCTTAGGGCTCCAAGCCTCTGTTAGTGAGGATGGGTAGATTTGCCACCTTATGGTTCAGATTCAAGCCAAAAGAAAAAAAAAAGTTATGATTTCACCTAACATGTTTACTACTTGCACCATATCAGGAACCTGAGGTGAGAAGGAATTCGTGTTGCATCTCATTTTTTTTGTTATAGCACTGGAGATACATGCTAAGGTAAGCATTCTATTATTGAGCTACACGGACAACTCCTGCTCCCTTTTTTAAGATGAGTTTTTGCTCTGCTGCCCAGGATGGCCTTGGCTTGCAGGTCCTCCTCCTTCAACCTTCTGAGTGCTTCAGATATCAGATATGGTTATTATTGCATTGTATAGATGCAGAAGTAGAACTCAGAAAGGACCCAACACTTATCTATCTAGTAAGAGAATTGAATTGCACCAGTAACCCAAGTCCCCAGCTCCAAACTTAAAAATTCTTTACCCAGCAGGGAAATCTCTCAGCAGACATATTCCTTGAAGCCTCCTGGGGTTTCTTCACTTGGTTTCCTTATCTGCCTGCAGAATTTTAATACCATGTTTAATATCTGAGAAATATCAGCTAGGATATTACCTGTTCAGGACTTGCGAATCATAGATAAATAATATAGTGCTTTGCAGTATTTTAAGGTTTAATATTCAGATGAATCAAAGCTAAAATGATGCAGAAGGTCTTTACTAAAATTCCAAGTTATTCCATTCACAGTGTGACAATATGGGACCTGTAGTTTTATGTATCTTCATGTTTGAAACAAGATTCATTTATTCTCTCTTTTTTCCATTTTTCTTCTTTTCTCTTTTTTTCTTTCTTTCTTTCTTTCTTTCTTTCTTTCTTTCTCTCTTTCTTTCTCTCCTCAGTTTCTTCTCTCCTTTCAATTTCTTGGCAATTGAACTCAAGATCTTTGGGGAGAGTTATACCATAAGTCCCTGTCTTTTTAAAGTATTTTTTGAGACACATTAAATTACTGAATTGCCTAACATGGCTGCAAACTTGTGATCATCTTGCATCCACCTCTTAGAATGCTGAGATTACTGGCATGTGCCACCAGTCTGGACTCACAAATCCTCTTTTAGGCTGGTAAAACTGGCTTTCCACATGCTGCAGATTGAACCTAGACCTATGTATCTCACCATACACTGAACTAAAATCAAAATAGACCAGAGATCTAAATGTTAAGAGTTCCTTTTTCCCCACAGCTTCACCAGAATTTGTCATTAGTTGACAGCCACTCTTTCTGGAGTGAGATGGAACTTTATCATTGTTTTAATTTGCATCTTTCTAATGGTCAGGGAGGTAGAACATCTTTTCATGTATTAGTTTGCCATTTGTACTTCAGAGAAGTAAGTGAATGTGTTCATTTCAGATGCTCACTTATGGGTCAGGTCTTTAAATCTGGGGGGGGGAGGTATGATTTTTTCAATTTTTTATATGTTCTACTATTAGTCCTTTGTCTGAAGAACAATGAGCTAAAATTTTTTTCCCCACTCTGAGGCTTGTCTTTTCACTTTGTTGGTGACTTGTTTTGCTGTGCAAAAGCTTTTTAGTAAGATGAGATCCTACTTGTTCATTTTTTGTAGTATTTCCCTTGGCAATGAGGTTTGTTCATGAAATCTTTGCCTACACTATGTCTTTGAGAGTTCTATCTATTCTTCCTTCCATTAGATTTAGGAGTTAGTGGGAGTTAGACTGGTGCAACCACTGTGTAAACCAGTGTGGAGATTCCTGAAAAAGCTAGGACTAGAGGTTCTATTCAACAGAGATTTTCCTCTTCTAGGTATCTTCCTGAAAGAGCTAAAGTCACAATACCATAGTGATATATGCATATATGCATATCCACGTTCACAGTGTTACAGGCAACTGAGTTAGATAAAAATATTATAGCTGGTCACACAGGGCTAAGCCCTCTATGGAGTTAGTGCAGAAAACCAGATACCTTGTTAATGTGGGGAGACAGACACCTCTGATGTGGGCCAGATCTCAAGACAAAAGATAAAACAAACACACCCACATACTTCCTAAGGATAGGCATCAGGAAGTGATATTCTAACTAGGTCTCTATCACCCTGAGGAAGCCAGGGGTCACCATCCCAACTGCCTACAGGAAAGTCACTGCTCTTTAAGCATGCCCCTTTGCTACATGAGGGGCTTCCCCATTTGACCTCAATTTAATCAGTTTTATCTGTGCAATTAGTCTTATTGGTTGACCATAGTTCTGTCCCACCTCAGGCCCACCTTGTGAGTTCCTATGTTTTCCCCACCTTAGATACTTTGTGGTTTCACTCTATAAAATCACTAAAGAAGACAATCTTCAGCAACCGGTTCATGACCCCTTTTCTTTCTTTCTCTCTCTCTGTTTCTCAGACAGAGCTTTCTTTCTCTCAATAAATACATCTGCTCTTAACCTCCATTGTTCCTAAACTTCATTCTTTGCTTTTAGAGAACATGAACCCTTACTGGACATCTAGTAGGCTGGGAGTTTTGTTCCACTTTAACAATAGCATTGTAATTCATAATGGCTTAATCTTGGAAATAGCACATATGCCTGTTAACAGATGAATGGGTACTGGAAATGTGGTGATTATACATAATGGCGTACTACTGTACCATAAAAAGAATAAACTTGAGACATTTTTAGGAAAACAGATGCACCTTGAGACCATAATCTTAAGTGAAATCAACCAGGCACAGAATTTTTTTTTTGTTTATTACATTGTTTCTTTTGTGTGTGAAACCCAAATTATAAAAAAGGGGTAAAATAAAAGATGAATATTAAGAATTAGGAAGAATTTGTTCAAACTGGAAAGGGAGCAAAACATGAGGAAGGGGGAGGAAAAGTAGAAAAATGGGATTTAAAGGAAAAAAGAAGGGAAAAACAGAAATATATCTCTATCATTGAGAGGGTACATGGAGTTGGAGGGAGGGGAAGGGAACCCCCCCACACACACACACAAAAGAGGGTATTTAGATTTTGTACATATGCAAATCCCCCATGAAGAATGTGATCATTATGTACTGCAAACATGCACTGATAAAAAGAAAATAAAACAGCAAACATGAAGATGAATCACTTTGGCATCTCTTTATGACTTTGTTTATTCTCCAAATCATCTGGTTTCTGCACATCAATTTTTCTCTAGCAAAAATGTGTGACATTTTTAAAACACCAATTGCAAAATGCAAGTAATGTTCCTCAGAAAGAGCAGCAGCGAGTCAGTTAAGCTTTAAGGAAACCTCTGCTTTCCCGGAGTCTCTCAGCGGGAATAGAGCACTGCAGGAGCTGAGCTCCCCGCAAGGCAGTTCTTACATTTTGTGGCCTTCTCCACTGAAAGGGAGAAAAGTCTCTCTTACTGGGTCACCAGGAGGCCTCTAAGAGGAGATTAGCACCTTTCTAGCTCAGGCAGCTGACTGAATTCCTAAATCCGCCCAGGCACTAAGAAGATAAAGTTTGCAGAAAGCATTTCTTTGCTGGGAGTCCTTGAATGCTTGGAGAAGCTGCATCCAAGCCCAGGTTTGGAGCCCCAACTCTTCATGTTCAGCTGTTCCTCTCTGGCCTGTTGGAATCTGTATTCCCTGCACAGAGGGAATTCCTACCTCTAGGAGCAAGATGGTGACAAGTTATTTCAGTGTAGGCCAGCATTTCTCAACTGGAGAGACAGGTTTTCATCTTGCTGCTTTTGCTCTTCATATCTTGCAATAACTTTGAAATCTGCCCAGGAAGATAGTTATGATGGGGAACGAAAGTTTCTTGGTGAAGAGTTTCTCCCTGGAGGGACAGTTGAAATAAAATAGCTTAATAAATAAATAAAATAAATAAGATACTAGCATGCATTTTTTAAACATTTGAAGATACATAGAGAAAAAAAGAATTCTGGATATAAGCTAAAAATGTCAATTACCCATTATAAATGAACTCCAAGATTCGATTTTTTTCCCTGTGTATCTTTGAGGAGGATCAATCCATTGAAGATCAATGCATAGATCGTGCATTGATTTCAAACAGTAGATTTGTCTCAGCCAAGCTGCTTCAAATAAAGTGAGTTCAAGATTCCCAAAGATGTTCAAACACTGAAAAACCAAACAAATACCAAGATTAACTACTGCAAAATTCATAATTAATTCTTCCCTTTTGCTGTGTGTCTCCTGCCAATTTAGTAAAACTAGAGACAGGAAGATGATAATGACCTTTCCACTCATACCTACACACGTGTGCCTTCTGCTTAGGTGTTTTCTCTCAGTGTCTTCTTTATAATTGTGACAGGTTGTAAATTTTCAGAAATGCAGTATTTTGGTCAAGTAAAATGCTGTTATGTGACAATAAAATACAAGTCATGCTCATAATGAGATATGGAAACATGTACAGGGATTACAAAATCTATTTTTGCTAAGTAATGTAGAGAAATTGTACTCTAACATCTGCTTATGTGAATATGTATCATTCCATCTTTTATTGTTAAAGACAGTGTTAGAAGTTGAAGTGCTTTTACTCTTTGGCCCAGCAATAATTAATTCCTGGAAATGTATGTTTCAGAGACAAACCTATCAATAAGTGAAGCTCTATGTACAAGGGACTGTTTTGTGTCATTATCCATACAGAAATGTACCAGGAAACAACAATGAATAATTAATTTTACAAATTAAGATACATTCACACTATGGAACAAAGCCACTGGAAAGAATGCGCTAGAATTCTGTCTGTTCATTGGGAGTATATACATCAGCAGTGGAAAAAAGTAAGGTGAAGAAAATCCTGTAGGTTTTAATTTTTGTCATTCATCATCCAAAGAGATTCATGAATTTTAAATTTAGGTTTCTGTGTTTGTCTATGTATTTACCTATGTGTAACACACGTGCTGGTATGTCTAAGTAAGGAGTCAGGTATGGAAGATGCTAGCATGCTTTACCTAAAGGGTTGGAAAAAGGAAAAGAAGAATGTAGACAAATAAACGCAAAGCCCTTTACAAAGGAAAATAAATGCAAGTCCTGTGTTAGGAAATCTGATGTATCCTAAAGTTCCATGATTGTGGGATTTATATAGTTATCTGTGTAAATCAAAATGTGTAAGACATTTTCAGACAGTTGGGGGAAGGTACTAAATTCACAGTTTATTATCCTAATTCTGAAATTTAAACAATAGATACTATTTGGTTGAAAAAAAAATAATAACGTTAGATTCAGTTTAATAGGGTATTTGCTTATTTATTTATTTCCTTGTTGATTGTAGTTCTGATTTAATGAAACTTGCAATGAAAAATGTAGCATAACCTTAAAAATGATTGAGGAAATTACAGAATGGGTACTCTGGATACATTTCACAGCTATTTTTTTTTTATGAGCAATAACAGAAAAAAATCTCAAATCTACTTTGAGTAATCGAGAAGTCGCACACGACTGAAGAGTTTATGCATCCAAGCAGAGCATCATCAATAGTCTTATTGAGTGGGGTCCTTGATGAATTTGCTTCGTTTATCTCTGTGACACAGCAGAGATTTCTTCCCTTGGACAAACATTAAGGCATTGTTGAGTTTTGTCATACTCAATAAGTCAATGGTAATTTGGGGCAAGAAAAAAGTTCTTGCTTTAATTGAATCTTAACATAGGAGGTGGAGAAAGGAATCTATAGCATAAGAACTTAATACCCTCTAGCTTTCCATCTCCAGTTTTGTTTAATTTAACACTTGAGTGAACTACTTAGTGGAAGCACACTGCATCTGGGCATTTACAGGTTTTTATTAAACGCCACAAGTTAGCGAGTTCAGGTTGGGTCAGCGTATCTTATTCCTGAAGTTTATACCTGGGTTCTGATATTCTGTGTGTCACTAAATGCATCAGGTAAGAATGGTTTCCCTGGAGCTAATAGACAAGAGCGCATTTGTAAAGCAGCGCTGCCTATGGTGCTGTGACTTTGGGCCGGGAATTTTCACACAGAAATGAATGGGTCTCTTAAGACAGTGGGAGGATCTACCTCTACCTCTGATTCTCCCCGCTTTCCAGGGATTAAAACAGGCCTGTTAGTGCTTCCTCAGAAAATGAGGCTTTCACTCTAACCTCTTGCTGCAGGAGTTTGTAACTCACTTGCAAAAATCCTCTTGATGTTATGCAAGGCATGTTTTCCACCAGTTCCACATGTAGTTTTTAAAAGACAATACCTTAGATTTCAGGGGAAAAAATCCAAAACCTCTTAAATCTTCTCACTTGGGAGATCAATAATATATTCCCCATTGAGTAAAACAGTGTAAACAGTAACTTAAAATTCAAAATGTCTGTTCACCTTGTACATTTAAATCTATCCTGGCTTCCTGTTTCACTGTTTTCCCTCTCCTTCCTTTCTTTGTTTTTCTGTAACACTTACCAAGCATCAGTTGAGTTCCTATTGTGTACTTGACACCGATCTAGTTACTGCTACAGTTGCTTTCCTATTCCTGCTGGTGATCAATAATCTTGATATATCAACCTGATTGGATTATGAAACAGCAAACTCACCTTGGGGTTCTATATGTGGTCCCTGTTCCCTTTCTTTCTGCTCTGTTTCCCTGCTGTGCTTTCAGTCATTATGAACTGAGCTTCTGTTGTGATGTTCCACCTTGGTGCATCTGACCATGGACTGAATGCCCTGAAACTGTGAGCTAAACAACTTTGCCTCCGTTAAGTTATGAGCTTCTGAAATTGTGGCCCAGTGATGGAAACTTATTAATACACAGCTATACTGAGTTTCTATTCCTGCTCTGCCTCACTACATATTTTGGGGTTAAAGTAACACACATTTATTCTCTTGCACTTTTAGAGTCTTACACATTTAACTTAAGCTGTCAGCACTTAAGGTGCCTTTTGAGTAGAATCTCTTTCCTCTTTCCACTTATAGCTTCAGGTGGCTACTAGTTTTCCTTGGCTGTATCCCTGCAGTACCATGCTTGGCTTTTGCCATCTTCTTGATTCTCCACTTTTACACAAATTGCCCCCTTTGACTTTCTCTTCTAAGGACACTTATGACTCTGCTTAGGGTGCACTCAGATAAACCTTTCTCACTTAACAAGCTCCTTAATCAAATCCATAAAGTCTCTTTTGCTTTAGACAGTAACATGCACAGGTTATAGGAATTAAGGTCTGAATATTGTTGGGGAACCAGTATTCAGCCTACCACCATGGAGATACACAAAACATTCAACATGTATCTGCCTTCAAAGACACTCACCAAGACATGCAGACATCAAGTATGTGCCCTCACACAGTCTGAGATCAGAATATATTCTTGCCTAAAATGATTCAGAATTATCTGCTTCCCTGTTATTAATTGCAGTTCAATGCATAATCAACTATATTCATTAAAAATTAGCATTCAGGTAATAATAGGCAGATGCTTTTCTATGTCTGTGATAGGTTACATAATGACCTCACTGGTTCGTCAGTCCTACTCCCTGGGTCCCATGAATGTTTGTATGACAAGGAGACTTTTTAGCTGTGGTTCCATGAAGAATTTTGAAATGATGAGATCATAGTAAATTAAGAGCTGTGCCCAAACAGAATCACAGCAGTGTTTATGAGGAGTAAGGCAGAAGGAGGTTTGAAGGCTGACGAAGGGAAAGTGAAGCAGTACCGGAAAGAGGCAAAGACTTGAGAGCTGCTAGCAATGAGCTGAAGGAGTGAGCCAGGAGCTAAGGGATGCAAGAGAGGCAGCATCAGAAGCTGGGGCGGAGGAAGGAAAGCACAGGACAGGGCCTCTTCCATGAGCTAGTTTTTGTTAATTTATTAAAAGAACTGCAGCAAAATAACTCTGTGTTCTCAGAGGCCAGATGAAAGCATTCTGGAAAGGATTGGAGCAGGCAGGCTCTGTGCTGAGAGACTCCAGGCAGCAACAGAGCTCGTGGAACACGCACTTCCGAAGCCCCGATTCTCTCTGTGGGCCATTAGAAGCAGGGCTTTCTTTCATGTTATTCATCTAAAATAAATTCCTAGCTGGAGCTGGCAGCACACGTCTGTAATTTCTCAGGGAGGAGAATCCAAAGTTTGTACCCATCTTAGGCAAGTTAGTGACTTAGCAAGACCTTGTCTAAAATTAAAATTTAAAAAATTAAAAGTAGGGAGAGTGGCAGAGGGTATAATTCAGCTTGAAGGCTCTGGGTTTAATCCTCAATACAGAAAGAATTCCCTACAGTTAGTCAATTTTTTTAACAATCAGATTTTTTAGTACATTTTAGATATACATAGTGATCACATTCATCACAGCAAATTTGCACCTGACATGATATAACTTGTTTTGTTTTTTCCATTACCTTACCCTCCCTTCAACCACTCTTCCCCTCTGCAAAAACAAAAGTTTTGTTTCCATGCTTTCCTTGTTTTCTCATTTTCTTTTACTTTTCCCTTCTTTCCTTTCCCTGTGCTCCCTCCTTATTCCCCTCCTTATCTGAAAATTTCCTTCCTGTTTCACAACATCTATTACAGTCCTGATTCACACGTTCGGTTTCTCAATACACCTGCCCTACACTTAATCTTCCACATATTACATTCAAATATACAGTAAGAAACTATCAAATCAGGAAGATAGTATTGATATAACTCACATATTCCTGAAATGGATTTTTAGTCCAAAAATGTAGAGTAGTGAGATAACCAAAGCTGGTCTGCACAGATAGATAGTCTCAGGTCCTGTTTCCAAATAATAATCCATTTCAGGAACAAGCACTGCATTCAACTTTCATGTCTCATGAGCCATTTTTATTTTGGGACAGTTTCTCAGGGTTTCTGTTTCCATCGCTTGGGACTTTCAAGCCGAGCACCCCAGGTGTTTTGTGTTGTGCTCCTCGGATTGGGTTAGTCTGATTGTTTATGATGATGACCTTTTAAGGAATACTGATGATGACACAGAAGCAGAGCTGTGTCCTTCCCAGGACATCCCATCAGACCACAACCCTAGTCAACTTAGCCCTTTAGGAAATTTGTGTAAATGGCATACAAAAATTCTTTGTATTATGTTGTAGTATTATATGTCTAAATAATAGACGAGAAGTAAAAAGTCCCTATCCTTCAGTAGTAAAATATCAATTAGTAAATCTTTATAGCTTTAAATGCGTGACATGAAAAGGTGAAAGAGTTAACATCTCCCCAAAAGAGCCTACATATCAGGTCATAAAATCTTGGATGAGTTAATGGTGAACACTAAAGAGCAGAGCATGAAGGTAAGATCCAGGGTCTGGATCTGAGTTGACTCAGATTAGATCTGGGGCTGAGTTGTACTCTGCCACTTCGCATCACTGAGGTCTTGGACAGTACATGGCAATGATGGCACATAGTCAATACCCGAGAATGGTGGCAATTAGTCAACATTTATTGACATGCTCAGTGTTCTCTAGAGATAAGTAAGCTATTTGATGATGTCCTTACACAGTAACATAATGTAATATT